TAAGAATAGATAGATCAAGGAAACAACACATTCTCAAAATGTAAATTTTCAGACTGCGCTACCACCAAATAATAATAATAATAATAATAATCTATGTAAAATATGTGTGATTAATGTTTTTTTTTTTAAATTGCTTAGTAGAAAATGTCATGATACCACTTCTGACCTTAGGTCTTTGGGCGGGACCCGGAAAGTAATGAGTATACACCAGAAATCAAAAGAAATAAAAATAATAATCATAAAAAGAAGAAGATGAAGATGAAGATAAGGAAGAAAAAAACAAATACATAAATAAATTGAACCGACCAGAAGAGAAATAAAGGTTTAGGAGACTCCAAAAGAAGAAATCAAAAATCGGGAAAAAGCATATTTCAAGAGACAAACATTGCGGATAATATAACATAGCCGCGGTTGCGCAGAGGACATTTGAATAATGACGAGGAATCATTATTATTGGTTGCTGAATGACGTTTCAGTAACCTCTACGAAATTGGGCAAATACACAATGTGTTTTAAATATACGAACGTCATACGCTCTGCGCATGATGTCTAGCCAACCAATGAAAAACAAAAACAGTATAGAATTTTTAAAAAATTGAAAACATAACTAATTATTTAATTTATAAAAACATTTCTGACGAAGCTAAATTAAATAGCGAAACATATATTCCTCCCATTTCAGCAATTATATATATATATATATATATATATATATATATATATATATATATATGTGTGTGTGTGTGTGTGTGTGTGTGTGTGTGTGTGTGTGTGTATATATATTATTTTTAATAGATACTCGTATTTGAGTAGACGCTCCGTTTATTCATTAAACAGTATATTTATTTAGTTTTGCCTACCGGCCTGAAAATTCAAGAAATCTTATTAGAGAAAATGTTGTAGATAAAGACATATTCTGTGGCGGTAAAAAAAAAGCAGTCTTGCAGGTATGTGATTACCAGAAACAATTCCTCCTTTATAAGAAAATAAGAAACAATTCCTCATTTACAAATAAAATAAATGAATTATTCTAAGTTCAGGTATTCTACATTCATTTTTGATTAATGAAAACAGAATGACTAAACTTCGAATAATTCATTTATTTTATATATTTGCGGAATTCGGAATAAGCTTTTAAATTTTCCATTTATATATATATATATATATATATATATATATATATATATATATATATATATATGTGTGTGTGTGTGTGTGTGTGTGTGTGTGTGTAACAACATAAAGAACAAATAGGAAACGTATATCAATCTAACATGTTTCGCTGTTATTAAAGCTTTGTCACAGATTGAGAGAAAACAGAAAAAATCTCTGATGAAGCTTTAATAAATGTGAAACATTTACATTCCATATTTGTTCTTTATCTTATCACCTTGTCGGGTTCCGATCCATATTTGATCTGCATTTTATCTTTAATTCATATATATATATATATATATATATATATATATATATATGACGCGTTTCGTCCTCTGATTTTTCAAATATCTCTTTTGCTAAAATATATACTTCATTTCCAAGCACACATGCATGACTATAATCTTTTTTTTTTAAATCGAAAACAAAACGGTTAAATCAAAACTTTCTATTATTTGAAATAAATAAATGCAGAAATTAATTTCACAAACTAAACTAAAATTATAAATAATAATTACATTTGAAAAAAAGAATCAATAACAGACATTGCTCACTTTCGTTTATTAGGGATAAATTTACATCACTTTATTATCTTTCATTGTTTACCTTGACTTTCGCACTGAAAAATAATTATGAACGTTATTAAATTTTAAAATATTGTAAATTAATTTTTACTTTTGTTTATAAATAGATCTTTCAAAATAAAATCCTTACATTTGCCTTCATTTAGTCTATCAGAAAACGAAACACGTCGGTAAAAATATTTTTTCTTGTCTTTATTCATATATATATATATATATATATATATATAGATAGATAGATAGATAGATAGAAAGTGAGAGAGGGAGAGAGAAATATGTTGTTATTTTTAAATGTTCTATTTATTATTATGAGATTGTAAACAGAATGAATTTTGAGAAATTTTAGAAAATTAATAAAACTAACATAAAATGTATTTCTATCTTTTTTCTTTTGACGTTAATGACCTTCATTATTAATCTGTGTAGATTGAATAAAAAACACTCAGCCTTGCAATAACAATTTTAAAGTACATACATTTTTCAACAGTCCGTCGTAAGTGGGTGGATCAAGAAATCGGTAGCCTGGTACAGTTATTAGCGGATCTTTGATTTGAAATCTTTACTATGTGACCAAAGGAGAAGCTTTGGATTATGTGCTTTTTCAAGAGAAGGATATGTTAATAATAATTTTTCATCATTAGGCTACAGACCTATTCATATACCATTTTTGTGAGAGACATTTGTTTGTTCATTATACAGTTGCTCTCTTGTTTTCTTAAACTGTTTCATAGTGAAACATTTCTCTTCCAATCAGACTGGCATTTATTAGGTCGAAATTGTGGTTAGAAGTGTTATGGTAAACTACAAGTGCGTTTGTCAACACAAGCTCTAAAAAGATATAGTCAACATTAAAAGGAATAAATAGTAACAACAATAAAACAGGAACATATAAAATAAATTGCACAGAATGACTAATGATATACATCGGGTAAACGTCCAGGAAGATCATAAAAAGATCATCATAGGGATCTATTGCATAACAACACTTTAAATGCATTAGTAGTTCACCGTAACCTATCTGATCACAATTTTGATCGAGTAAATGCCAGTCTGATTAGAAGAGAATAGAATTCATTAAGAAGAAAATACATAGAAAGTGCACTGATCTCATAAAGTGTTCCAATAATTGTCACTTTAAAATCATAAGGGCAAACAATTTACTAGATACCAGTTTAAAATGAAGTAGGAATTGAGGGAACCTGGAATTACAAGGGGAAGAATTTGACCTGAGAGTTTGAGAATCACAGGTTTTGAAGAAAGAGATGAATAATTTCCATTAAACTTACGAGAAATTCAAGTAATATTAATGCTAGTAAATTCTTAAAAGTATCAAACAATACGTAAAGATTTTTATCTATTGTCATTTCTTATCTTAAAACAATTCTGCTGATACTGAAAGCGCTGTAATGGATGAAGCTGTGATAACTTCAATCCTTCCTACATTTCTGCTGGAATTAAGAACATATTTGTCTTCTTTGCCACAATCTACCGAGCTGATCTTTTTCATTTGTCTAAAATCGTTACTGATATTAATTTGCTAAATAAATATCTATTTTCCATTTTTTTCCGAAACACCAGCCTCCAACGTTCGTGTATAGTATAACTCTTATACGCAGCAAAAACTGTAAAGGTCTCATTCCAGAAATTACAAACGATCACCGCAAATGTATTCATTTAAAAATCAAAACAACAAAAACATGACAGTAATGTATGTATATATATATATATATATATATATATATATATATATATATATATATATATATATATATATGCACTACTGTAATTGTATGGTTGTTTTGATGTCAAAGAGTTATTAATAGCCGTTTTCATAGTTGATTTTATCAATAATATCAACTATGAACACGGCCACAATGTGCTGACAGTGTTTGGAAAATAGCATTCCTGTAACTCTAGATACATACATAAAACAATCCATACATTTAGTTAAAGATAAAAATAAAACCATCCTTGATAAATGGCTCAAAGTATAGCCGAAGGGGCTCAGACATACAAAATATTCGAACAATTTCTACATAATTTATGTCCAGAAAAGAAAAAAAAATTAAAAACACAAGAAAAATGAAATAAAAAATCAACTGCAGTACCTTGTCAGTTGTTTTTAATGAAACTTGTATAAAAGAGGGATTGCTGTCCAAATACACATTATATATATATATATATATATATATATATATATATATATATATATATATATATATATATATATATATATATATTAAGAAAGCATTAGATAAAAAATATAGATATATTTAGTCTTTCACCTAGCATCTGATTTAGACCCTCCACTTTTTATTTGTAGAGTCCTAACTGCCTGATAATTATTTTTTCCTAAAATCGTTTTATTTACACTATTTTTTTTTGTTTTTTGTTGCTTTTTATTTTTTGTGGTAAAGTTGGACCACAGACATACGAGTACAATGCGAAATTTACGATGAGTTTAATTCCTTCATAAAAAATGATTTTTTTGTCAAAAATGTTTGCTTTCTTAAACATTTCAGTTTTATGTCTTTTTTTAAAGAAAAATCTGTAATGAAAATACTTCACGAAATTTATTCTGTATTGTTTTTCAAAATGAAGATCTATTAATTCTGGATTTTAAATTTTGATGATACACCAATATTAACCTCTTAAACACAACATATTTAAATTTAATTTAATATTTAAAAATCAAATAATAAAATAATTTTATATAGTCCCGAAATTTTACGTATTTTCAACAGGTGTCAGAGGTTTGATTTTGGGTTAAACCCAAAATTTCGAATAGTGATTTCAAGCCCTTGAGAGATTGGCGCAACATAATCTTCTTATTTATATTTGGCATTCTACTGTAGTAAGATTCATAAATATCAAATAATAAAATTGTTCTCCTGTCACACGGATAAGCATTAATTATTTTAATTATTGGCTGTTAAAGAAAAAAATCATAATAATTTTATTTTGATGAAGAAAAATGCCATCATATTGAAATCAAATTTAAATTATTTATTTATATTTTTGAATGTCGTATGTTTTTTGATTTCTACGAGTTTTTTTTTAATTCAATCAACTTTTATTTAAAAACAATAATACATTTAGTAATGGCTAGTGATTTATTTCGCTTTTTTCTCACCGCTTAAAAAAATTCAGGCTTTTTAAATGAGGAGGAAATCATTTAAAAATATTTTAACACAGATTGACATGTTTAAATGGTTCTTAAAACATAAGTTATCAATTTATAGGAATATATTACAAGTAAATTAGTGTTTGTTTTCTTTCTTTCTTTCTCTATCTATCTATCTATCTATCTATCTATCTATCTATCTATCTATCTATCTATCTATCTATCCTTTCAGTTAAGAGAGAGAGTTGATTAAACCTACTTGATAGATAGATAGATAGATAGATAGATAGATAGATAGATAGATTTCTCGTATTTGTTTATTTAAATGATTTTGTACACGGATTTGGTTCACAATTAATCAATTTTGACTACATCAGTTTTTGGAAATTTTCTCTGCAGCACGAATTTCCAGCGTTCAGATTCGTTAATTGTTTTGTTGCCAACAGGCAGGAGAATAATTTTTTTAAAATAAACATATAAATTAAATAAAACTAATATTAAAATATGAGCAGATACAACATACACACGAAGTAGACCGAATGATGATGTCTCGATTGGAATGTCATGTTCAGAACAGCGAATATTATTATTATGAATTCAAATAATTTATCAAATGTATGGCATATTGGGAATAATTCCAAATCATGAAACATTTCGTTAGAAAACAGAATAAATTACTATATTAAAAAACAACTTTTATGATATTATAAAGTTGTTGCTTTTTTCTTTTTATTTCCTGGTTTTAATCATAAAAAATATTCTTAAAAAAGATTTGAAAAAAAAGCAAAATACAAAAACAAAACAACCTAACTCAAATGTTTTTTAATGACATGAATGATTGAATTTAAATAAAATGTCCTAAATGTTAATGTATTGAAAAAATATTTTCAATAAAAATTAAGCAAAAATTAATTGAATGGTAATGATTTACTTATTTGGCAAATTTCTAGTTTTACGATTAATACTGTAAAGAAATGAACACAAAAAATGTTGTTAAACTTTTATATATATTAAAACAATTTCTAAAGAATTCATGGATTTGTTTTTAATACGACATATATATATATTTGATGAATAATAAAAAAAAACTTATTTTTACCAAATGGGAGAAATAGACTATTTCGGCAGATGATACAAGTGGCTGTCTGTCTTTTCAACTCCATATGAAATGGAATCCACGTCCGTAGAGCTAGATATTGGGGTTGAAAAGAGAGACGACTTGTATCGTCTGTCGAAATAGCCTATTCCCCACCAGAGTTAATTTTTTTGATTATTCAGCATATTGCTCTGTGCCAATAAAATACATACTCTTTTTGTGGATCAATTTTAATATTTTATATTATTTGTACACCACTTGGATTATTCAGCCATGTAATTTATTTTACCCTCACTATATATATATATATATATATATATATATATATATATATATATATATATAAAAAATTCTAAATGGTAAATTTACCATAAAGTCTTCTGAATTGTAGATGTAATTATGCGAAACCTCTAGTACAGGTCAGTATTAAGACAGGTGAAAAAATATCTTATTTACTATTAATGCTTTATCTCTTGATATCGTCCGAGTATTATAATTACAATTACAATTACTTGATTCCTTTAAAATAATTAATTACCTTCCAGAATTACTCTGATCGACCGTTTTTCACGAAATTCAATAACAATATTTATTATTGTTTATATATATATATATATGTACAATGTATACACACACACGAAAGTAGATTGTTATTTAGTAGTAAATATATTTTTAAGGAAATGCAAAAAAGGAATCTGTTCAAAATTTCAAATAATGCATTCCGTTAATCACTCGATTTACCGGTCCACAGACCACATTGAAAACATTCTTAAATCTTCCATTTTGTCTAAGTGATGGTATTATAGAGAGAAGACCGTGGACCCAAGCCCCGATGAAGTGTTCTTATGGCTCGAAATAAAAAATCTAAAACTTGTCCTGGTAAAACGAGCATTTTATGAACCGGCAAAATGCACTGTGTACAAATCCTTATTGACCGTAAAAATCATACGCTACATGTAATCCAAAACGTTAAAATAATCTTAATTACTTTGAAAATATTTTAAGACAATCTCAACACTGATTTACGAAAATTCTTAGAGAAACAGAAAGAAATTCTTGTGCCACTATAAAATAAGTTTTGGTAAATCCTCAGAAGGAATTAAAAAGTTTCTTTAAATTTGCCGAACTCGATAGAGCACCATGATTAAGAAAAAAAAAAAATGAATAAATTCTTTTAATTAATCATATATAAAAATAAAATAGCCCCATTCTGTCAGTAACGCTTAGCTTACTTCCTGATTAGTGATAATCCTTTTTTCCCGATCTTCAGTTTATTTCTATAATAAAAATCCATTACAATACATTTCTACATTAAAATTATTTGGAAGACACTTGTATAGTAAAAATAATTAATTTACATTATACATATGAATCACTATTCTGTAAGTAGTGATTGACTTAATTCCTAACCACTAAGTATCCTTTTGGTCCGCTTTGTTAACCTCCGTGTAGATTCTTTGCCAAAGTTGCTAAAATAAGTTTTAGGTTAATAATTGCAAAGTTAGTCATTAATCATTAAAATTTCACTTGCTAATAAAAAAAATAGTTTAGTGCAAAAAAATGGCTAAAACTATCTGGAAGAGTAATGGCGTTGTAGCAACATCAGTGGGCAGTGATAAGAAAACCCGGAACTTTGTTGGGTAAAAATGGAGTCACTATGTATTATGATTAGAGGGAATTAAATTTTTGATGTAATTGTTTAATAAATATCTGACTCATGCTGCTACTCGTTACAGAAAAGTTAGAAATAAAATCGATTTTGTTCTTTTTTCATATTATATATATCTAAAAAAGTAACATAAAGAAATTAATTTGAAGAAAAATATTTCAAAAATAATTTTTGTTTCGTATTTTTTCTTTATTACTTGCAATATTTGAAATTTTAGTAATATTTTTCCTCTATTAATTTTAAATTATTCTCTTCTATTTTCATGAGAAAAAATAATAATGAGAAGACATTTAAAACGAAATGACTTCTTGATATGCCGTGTTCCTTCAGGATATAGGCGATCAAGACTTTCCACAATTTCCTGTCCTTCGTAGCTCTTAATAAAGTTTGTCTTTTTGTTATTTCTTTTGAACATTGTTCCGCCATCCATTGAATCAAACTCACTAAGTATGTTATGTGTTGTTTTCCTCTGTCCTTCTTGCTTTTAATCTGTCCTGTGAGTACCAGATTTTCCAAGCCCTCTTTCCTCATTATGTGACCTAGAAATTTCAACTGTTTCTCTTCCTGTTTTGTTTCCATTTTCTCTAAAACTGTGCCATTGCTTTTATGTTCAGTTCATGGTATTCTCAGCATTCTTCTGTAGAACTACACTTTTGTTGCTTCAAGTCTCTTCTCCATCTCTGGCGAGATTGTTCAGCATTCACTGTCATAGAGGAGGACATGTATCAAGTAGAAAATGTCGAAAATACCGAAGAACAAGCAAAGAGGTACAGAAATCCTACATTGTTTTATTAGCAATAAAACCGATAAAAAACAATTATTTTTTATTGATTGATTCGTTTTATACCGTTTATCAACCTTTCAATTACTTTTAATAAATAAACACATATAAAAATTGATTTTTTTATTTGTTTATTTATGTATTTATTTATTTTATTTGTTTATTGATATAATTCAAGATTACAAATTTATCAATTCTACATTATAAATCATTAATACATTTTAATTATTTCTTTTATTATCGACCCCAGGTGAGATCCCAGAGTCATTGTAAACTTACCGACCCTTTCATTAGTTGCATAGTAATGGATAGCGGCTCGGATTTATTAATTGGAGAGCCGCGTTCGAATTCCAATCGAATCCATTTCATTCACTTGGGAAAGGTATTAATCCTCTTCTTAGAGGACAGACGTGCTAATACCCTTGGGAAAAGTATTAATCCCCCTCTTCTTCTCTTCGTTCTGTAGCCTTGGATGGCAACTGGTCTACCGCAGAAAGAAATGGCAACCTACTGCGAGAAAAATTTGCCTCGTCAGTCATGTCTCGAAAGATCGCCTAAGCGTGTATCACATATGGCACATAAGTGACTGGTGTGCTTCACCTACAGTTTTTGAATTCAGAGTTATCCTTTGGTAATATAGAGTTCAATCCCTGGTCCAGGCAGCATGTACTTGACCTAAGTTGAAACGAAGTGAGCATATAACTGAGCAGTACTAAAATAAGTCAAACTACTAAAGTGCCAGAATACATTCCTCGATATGGGTAGTGGAACAAGAATAATCCACCTCGTACATTAAAAGGTTCAGTTCGAAATTCTCTGTAGGTTACACAGATCGACACACACCTGATGAAGGCCGAAACATTGCGATAACAACAACAAAGATAAGGATAGTAGTCCGCATGGGATATAAATAAATATAAATAAGCAATAATTATATCAAGTATTTTTTTAAACAAGTAATTACAGCCATATATAATAACACAGGCATAGATCTGAATATTTTTCTGCGAGAATCACACAGGTATATGATTTAAATGTTTGAAAATCTCTAAATAGAAAAACAGGTTGCCATGCAACGCTGTAGAGCTCAGTCTGCCTTACTATTTACCCTTAGTTGGAGGTACTAAATTTAGAGTTGTACTTCTTCTAGACCGGTTTCTATACAAGGCTATAGAAACTTTTCCGTTCTACTATATACCCATAGCCGGAAGAAAAGGAGATGGATTTATATCTTTCACGTAAGCGAATGTAACAAACCCGATCGGAATTGGAACTCGGCTCTACCGATTACCTCAATCCGAGCCGTTATCCATTACTCCACCGTACCTTCTATCTAATTTATTAATCATTAATTTATAATCGAACCTCATTTTTCTTGGATTAAAAATATATTTTTCGTATTGGCCGAGTCGATCGGATATTCGATAAAAACGTCCTGGTGAAATATAGGCGCCTCAATTTATATTAAATCGGTGATTTTATTTCTTGCCCGTACGGTGTCAGCCCCATGACAATTGACGTCGTTACACAGCAAGTTAACGGACTTCCAACAAGTGCGGCCAGGCAGCGTTCCAATAAAACACCGCGCGGTGCCTGTACACATGATGCTACTCAGGACTTGATCTTTATTCACCGGGCATTTGTTTGCTGCTTCTTGGCAAGAGGCAACTCTACGTCGTCTTTATGAAACTGACATGAAACCGGGCG